ATATTCCTTTTAAAATTGTTCCTATACAAAGCAATAAACGAAAAAAAGTCCATCATATCTATTGTTATACCTTTAAAAATTTGTTCTTACATAAATCTAAACGAAAAAATTCTAACATTTTTAATGTTTTGCTGAGCGGGCACAAAAAAAATCGATGTTGGACTGTTGAGTGAGATGTTGGACCGCTTACGCCACAGAATGGGTGGGGCTTAATCTCATTTTCATTCGTTAAACAGTTAACGTTAAATCACGGAATACAGTATAAAATACATGTATGTCAATAAAATAAAATGAAAAGTATAACAAAATAATTATTGACAGAGTTCTCGGGCTAAATGCGTTTTGTCGGACCCTCGAACCAAACTGTGTGCTTTCAGTCTAACAGCCTCAGACAGACAGTTTGGTTCTTGGGTCCGACAAAACGCATGTTGCCCTCGAACCCAGTCAATAAATGTGTAATGATTTGCTGAGCAGGCATAAAAACATTCGATGTTTGACCGCTTAGTGAGATGTTGGACCGGTCGATGAGATGTTGGATCGCTTCAGTCACAGAATGGGCGGAGCTTAATCTCATTTTCATTCATTGGTGTTCAGAAGTGACGGATCGGAGGTTACATCACGGTAGATAGTACAAAATACATGTATGTGAAAAAAAATGAAAATGAAAGGTATAGCAAAACATTTATTGACTAAGTTCTGCGTTTTGTCGTTCTAGCATCCTCAGACAGACAGTTGGTTCTTGGGACTGACAAAGCGCATGTTGTCCTCTAACTCCGTCAATAAATGTATAATATTTAACTTATTTAATTTAACTTTGACCTTTTTCATAAATATGTAAAATTAACATAAATAGTTAAGTGCTTTTCTTTGTTTGCTAGTACGGAAATTAACGTCGGAGCTTTTGCAGAAAAAAATATATAAGAGGTATATAATATTTTCTGCAACAGCTGCGACGTTGCCCAAACTCGAAAATCCTATTTCGTGGGGGTGGGGTGGGTGAAGGGGGGGGGGCAACTTTTTCGGATACCAACTTCTTTCAGTATCTTCTTCTTTTGCATACAATGCTACATTACCCTTATTTCAATTTACTGTACCACAAAAGGGGGAGGCAACCAGCCTATCAATGAACATTTGCAATAGTAAAAGTTATGTTGGGAAAAAAGTGGGGGGGGGGGGAGGAGCCCCCCTTCCCTTCTCTGTTGCTACGTGCCTGTATTATTTCATAAATAAGGAAAGATGACAATAGAAAAGCTAAAGTTATTCGTTTGGCATAAAATTTACTTTTAATTTGGTCTTAAATATAGTTAGTACTGGTATAGTCAGAAGAACGTCCAAATATGAATCAGACGTGGCAATCATATACATGAAAGAAGGACATAAAATTTCTGCATGTCTGAAAAATATCGTGCGTGTATTATGTGGATTCAATTTTATTTATAAACAGTGGGAATCTCTTTGAGAAATTCTTTTCAAAATTTACTCGTAGAATAAAGAAGATTCCATGCATAATGTACATTCAAGTACGTGTACATGTATGATAACATGGTCGTCTGAGAATTGGATACAGGCATATTTAGAGGAATTTTTTAAATCCCATTGTCATATTGTAATTTTTTGATTACCGGGTGGTAGTAAATTCAAAAATTACAAAATGACACCACTTTAAAACAGTGCTTCAATTGTGAAACTAATGTAAAAACATTTCAATACAGTCTTGTGTATTTTGAATTTTTGATGTAGATAAATGTTTTCAATTTTGACCTTCCTAGTGAATATAAGGATATTTCATTCCTAAATTGAACTGAAAATACAGTAGATTGAAAACAATTTCAGAAAAGTTATATCATCTGCATCCGAATTTCGCTCAAACGAACATATTCAGGCACTAGGAAATTGAGAAGGGGCTTGCCCTCCGGTTTTTGATGCCCGCATAAAGCGGAGCGGATCAAAAACCCTTGATTTGAGGGGGTGATAGAATCAGGAGGGGTGGAGTATCCTCCCACTTCTATTTCCATGATCGTATTTTTTTGTTGTTGTTCTTTTTTAACATTTAAAATGTTCACTGGAAGTCTGATTGTCCTTTTCATGCTACCCCCAAACGTTTTAAATTTGATACAGAAGAGTAAAAGGAAATCACCCTTACATCACAAAACTTTTTGATCCAAGATATTTCTAAGGTAATTTGTCATTTTGCCTCTTAAAATACACCTTTCATTGGTATGCTTCGATATTTATTGTTTTTCTACATTTTGCCAAAAAAGATTTCAAATACAAAACTTATACTGGTTAAATTAAGCTGATGTTAGCTCCGATGGTCTCATTGGGTTTGCATGTCTCTGACTTTTAAACAAGAAACTTGACATGTCTGCTCCATCAGTTTTAATCGTTGAATCATATAAAACTTTCATTGATGTTTTTTTTTCTGTCATGACGATCACTGATTTTTTAAAATTGAAAAACAACGCTCTCCTTGCCCTTTTGGGCTCGATAAGCCCTTTACTCCTCTAAATTCTGAGTCATTGCCTTGACCTTAAAAAAAAAATACAATGATGGTATATATTACACACTTAGTAATAAATACATGCATATGCGAATATACGCAGGGTATATCGGAAATCATTGAATCCATATTTAGCTATTTGACGTCAATATCACACCCTTAGTAAATTAAACCACAATAACAGTACTTGTACTCATATACAATTTTTGGTGGGTTCATATTCTCTTAATTTTAACTTTTTGAGGTTAATCTTAATTTACAAATTTTTGTAATACTATAGAATATTTTCAAATTACGGACAAGTGCATTGAAATAGAAATAGAAAAAACCCAAATCTTATGAGACAATGTACATGGGTAATGCATATTATTTACTTATTTTCTTCTCAACTGTATTTTATTTAAGTATGTAATAAATATAATAAAACATACCCTTTTCCACATACTGTATCAGACCCCTCGGGCCCCCTGGCTGAAAATACAATGATATGGAAAAGGGTATGTATTATTCTCTATTTATAATGTAATATTATCAATATACGAGGGATATTCGGAAATTATTGAGACATTGACATTTACTCCATAAAGGACAGAACTTTTTCTACGGACATATTCAATGGGGTTATTATTTGTCTTTATTTATGCATAGAAAAAAGTACCCCCCCCCCCAATTCCGGAGAAAAAATTTCAAAACTAGTTCAGGAAGTTCTTAATATAGTTTTAGTCCATCCTCGCAAGCCACTGGTCCTGAGTGAAAACATTGCGTTTTGCGCAGTTGGGGGGGGGGGGGATTTCTCCACTTTTAAGCATTGATCAATCAACTACCATTCACTCACTAATTCTAGACACATTCTTTCAACAATCTGTTTATATTATCCACCTCTCAACTCTTTATAGTCAGGGACGTAGCAACAGTGGGGGCCAGGAGGAGGCCTAGCCCCCCCCCCCCCCCACTTTTTTCCCCAACATTACCTTTACTATTGAGAATGTTCACTGTAAAGTTGGTTCCCCCCCCCCCCCCCGAATTCTTACCACCGTATAGTGATATGAAGGAAATGTAGTATTGTATGTATTGTATGCGAAAAAATTGGAAGTAAAAGGAAGTTGGCCTTGGAAAAAGTTGGGAATTTTTTTTTTATGCTTGTCAACTTTTACAGGTAAGTAAAAAAAATTCTCTGGTTGCCCCCCCCCCCCCCCTCCACTTTCAAAAACGATGCTACATGCCTGATAGCAGTCTCTACAGGCGATAAACTCGCTTGAAGTGTATTTTCAGCAATTTAACAAACGATTCTAATCAAATCAGTTTACCACTGTAAAGGATTTGGAGGTGGATAAAATATACAGATTGGTTACAGAATGTGTCTAGAATTCGGGAGTGAGAGTTAGTTGATTGAACAATGCTGGAAAAAGGAGAAATTTCCCCCAAAGTGCGCAAAAAAATCTTCAGCCGTAAATGGTACATTTTTTTTTTGCATTACGGGATCTGTAGCTTTATGGACAAGACTAATATTTAAAACCACAACGCTACAGTTCTGCAGCTAGGAATTAGGTCACACCAATAAAATTTATTGTTCGTCGGACCCGCGCGCTCTTATTTAAACAAAACTATACAAATAATATAAATTTGAAATTCCCGCACCATTGGAATTCTTTGCTGTTTTCTGTTATATTTCCGCTCTATTTATCGTACTTTTAATCTACTTACTCTGCAAATCAGAAAAAATATAATTGTCCGCTCAATTTTTTTCACGCCCCGCCTTAAAATTTTGCCTTCAAAAAAGTAATAATATTATTATTTAACCGCTACCCCGCTCGTACTTTTTTCATCAAATGTCCGACGGACAGTGTGGCCTTATTCACATGTATTGACTTTTACTTCCTTTCCTTTTTTTCTCAAATTTCTTCTATATAATCTACTCATTCTAGTATATGAATGTATTGAGATGTACGACAATTACAATGGAAGTTAATCCTTTCATTTTCAAAACAAGATGGAATGGAATGCAACCCCCATTCGAATTAAATTCATGTCTATTAAGGACATACACAACGTACCTTACCTACTGATAATTTTCCAAGATATTCTAAATTTAAACTTATAATATCATTAAATGTTCTTGGACAAAAAATCAGCATGCGTTTCCAGGGGTTTTGAAAAGATATCGAATTTTGAAAATTTTTGCATTATTTAAATAAAAATGTACAAAAATTATAAAACATGAATTCCAGATTTTTTTCCATCAAAAATTGTTTAAGAAGAGGTGTACAAATCCATATATAGACATTAAAAATATTGCACACAGGCCCTTCATTTAGTGGAACTCTTCAACTCCAAGGCAGAATCCAAAAAAGTTAAAACTACGTTGCGTATGACCTTAACATGAAAGTCAAGAAATTTTACTGAAATTCTAAAGGACATTATGTACTCCTTTAATTAATATACTATTATATGAACCTTTCTCCTTCCACAGAAGCCAATTTGGATATAAAAGCATAAAGTGTACACTTAAACTTGTTTTATTTTCTTCCTTGCATGGTCATTTCAACATAAAAGTATTTGTACATACATTTTAAAAATTTGTATTATGACAAGGGATAATTTTCACTGAGTGATTAACAAATTCTTCAAAATTCTAAACAAAATATGATAAATCTTCTACAATTGTTTCTATTAAAGAGCTTAACATTAATGGACTGAAGAAAATAATGCATTCCTTTTGAAAATAAAATAACCTAACAAAACCTGCTTCAGCTGTGTATTGTATATGAATATCCATCCACTGATCTCCAAGTAGACATGATTGAAGAATTGTGGTTCTATGAACTATCATTTGGCAAAGAAAAATTCTGTACATTTTAGTTTTAAAATTTGGTCATTTTTTGTATAATTTTATAAGGAGCTCTCCTTCTAAAGGAGATCAATATAGTCTAAAAATGGCCACAACCACCAGCCATATATAAATTTCCTTCTTATGAATTCTGGCATGTGGTAATTTGAAGAAAAAAATGAATTGAATCTAAATGATCTAGGCCACACTAATGAAAATTTTTGTTCGTCGGACCCACGCGCTTATTTAAACAAAACCATACAAATAATATTAATTTCAATTTCTCGCACCATAGGAATTCTGTGCTATTTTCTGTTCCATTTCCGCTCTATTTATTGTATTTTATATCTGCTTACTCTGTAAATCAGAAAAAATATAATTGTCCGCTCAAATTTTCACGCTCCGCCTAAAAAATTGCCCAGCAAAGAGTAATAATATTATCATTTAACTGCTTGTACTTTTTTTAAATCAAATGTCCGACGAACAAGAAATTAAATTGGTGTGGCCCTACATAACTTTTTAAGCTTTGTGAAAAATGGTAACACTACATGATTGTATATATAAAAAGAATAAAATTACATGTACATGCATTAATATAAATTATAAGGCAAAATAATCCATCTTTAGATCTATGGTATTGTTGATATAATATTCAGACATAAAGTTCTTTAATTTTCTTTATGACTAATGCCTTCATTTTTTTACTTCCTTAATGTCAAATCAAATCCTTTAATGGTAGTGCTTTGGGTCATGTTGCTGTGAAGATACATCGGAAATATGCAGTTTTCTTCTTCTCCCTGTCGTTTGGAGTTTTAAGGTACCGAGATAATACCTGAAATTAGAAAACATCATTTCTGAGCATTTAAAGCAATGTAATCAAGCAAATTCAAATAATTGTGGTCCCTCGCTTTCGGTGTCTTAGTTTGTAAGGTGCTATTATATATAGCATATTGTGTTAAATACCGGGCTTGTCCCTATCATATATTGTCAATTCCAAAGCAATATTTTGAATTAAGGCAAATAAAAAGGTCAAGGATTATGAAAACCAAATGAGATTCCACTGAACGCCGTAGGGTCGCAATATCTCCGTAATAAGGAAACGGATATCACTTTGGGCATGCACAAAGTAAAAGTGATACGGTCTGATCAAAAAGAACGCCGTAAAACGTAGTATGGTAGCAGCGCGGTGAGATCTCCAACAACGTAGTGGGAGCTCCGTACGAACGCCGTGAAGACGCACATGATCGCGGCACGAACGCAGTGATAGTAGACTGCGCTTCCAAAACCTCAAAAAATGTACCTTGGAGATGTACTTATATTTAAGGCGCTTAATCAAATCGCCTTGAGATTTTTTGGACTGCGATTAACGGCGACATATGTTCATGCGATCATTGCGCTCAATTACACGTTGGCGATCACAATGACTTTTACGGCTTGTTAGGGCGTTTAGAAGCTCACAAAACAAGAGCAATGGTATATTTGATCAGCAGTAATTCCAAATTTGTTCCACTAGGAGCATTTAAGTGAAAACAAAAATGGAAGAGAAAATTACATCAGTTGTACATGTTAATTCACTTAAATTTTGTAGAAAACTTTTCAGCGTGTTTATTTTTTTTTTTACATTCATAATATAATCAAAGAAAATCAAACAACACATCTGAATCGATAAAATTGAAAAAAAGGGAGTTTAATCATAAAACTATTAATAATTAAGTACTGAATTATGTAAATAGAATATTTTTGATTAATAAGAATATTTTCTTGGCATGATTAGAATCTCATAACGTGTAACTTGAATCTTTAAACAAAAATACATTCCTTTGAATTTAATCAATGATATAGAACGCATTGTAAACGTATTGTGAACGCAGCCATCGCAGTGAGAACGCCTTGAACACGACAAACTCCTAACGCGCCGTGAAAATTCGGAAGCATATATTTTATATGTAAAAATTTGAGAGCCGTGGGAACGCAGAAGAACGCCGTGACGCCGTAAATCGCGTCCTAAGCCGTTGCCAATATATCGTACAAAATATGAAAATTTTACAGAAATTTGTGCAATTTCCCTGCGATTCCACGGCGATTTAAAAGATTTAACAACGCCGTAATGACTCCGTGTGAACGCAGCTTGGTGTGACAGGGCCTTTAAATATTAATTCCCTATCATATATTGTCAATTCCAAAGCAATATTTTGAATTAAGGTCAAATAAAAAGGTCAAGGATTATAATCATTCCAAGGTCCGAAACATCTCGATCTTGTCTCACAAAAGGGACATCAAAAATGAAAACCAAAATCAAAAGTTACAATGAAAACAAGAGGCCCATGGGCCCACATCGCTCACCTGAGCACATGGGCTAGTTAAAAAAAAACACAAGTCAGCTCAGTATTGAAAATTGGGGGGGGGGGGGATGAAATTTTTTAATACTTGAGAACTCGCTTGATTAAAATTATATGTTATACATGTACTGCTGAAAATTCACTTCAAGTGAGTTTTTTAACTGTAGATATAACTAAAAATGGTTGGGAGGTGGATAAAATATACACTATTTTATACAGAATAAGTCCAGAATTAGGAATGGAAAGGTAGTTGATTGACCAATGCTAGAAAATGGAAAAATTTTCCCCAAAAGTGCGCAAACAATGCCCCGTAAATTCCACCTTTTTTGCATTACGGGACCTGTAGCGTTAGAGTCAGACAAATTATAAAACCATAGTGCTACAGATCTGCAGCTAAATTTTGCCATACTTGAACATGTGTTGAAAAGAAGATTTGTCCTACATATTACTTGATCTCCCATTGTGACCCCTCGTTAACCCTTCCTAAACCCAAGAGATCATGTTATGAACAAACTTGAATTAACTCTGAGGATATTTCCATATTAATATCACAATCATAGCTTTGCTGATCTTGAGCAAAGGATTTTAAAAAAAAATTCCTATATATTTCTATATAAAAATTTGATCAGCCAGTGTGGCCCTGCCCTACCCCCGGGTGTCATGATTTGTACAAACTTGAATCTACACCACCTAAGGATGCTTCGACAAGAGTTTTATCTTTCCTGGCCCAGTGGATTTTTTAAGATTTTTCCTATATATTCTATGTAAACCTTTGATCAGCCATTGTGGCACCGCCCTACCCCGGTGAGTCTTGTTTTCATTGTAACATTTGATTTTGGTTTTAATTTTTGATGTCCCTTTTGTGAGACAAGATCGAGATGTTTCGGACCTTGGAATGATTTTAATCCTTGACCTTTTTATTTGACCGGGGCTCACCTGAGCACATTGTCTAGGAAAAAGCACAGATCAGGTCAAAACTGAAAAATTGAGGGGGGGGGGGGGGGGGGGGGGTCGCTTGGTTATGATTTGAACAAACTAAAATATACATTAAGGGGGTTGATTCCATATAAATATCACTAATCATGGCTTTGAAGTACTTGAGAAGAAGATTTAAAAAGATTTTCATATATATTCTTATGAAAGAGTTTCATCGGCCATTGTGGCCCCATCCTACCCCTGGGGGTCATGATTTGAACAAACTTGAATCTACACTACCTGAAGATGATTACACATGAGTTTCATCTTTCCTGGCCCTGTGTTTCTTGAGAAGAAGATTTTTAAAGATTTTTCCTATATACTCCAATGTAAAACTTTGATTGGCCATTGTGGCCCCACCCTACCCCTGGGGGTCATGATTTGAACAAATTTGAATCCACACTACCTGAATATGATTCCGGGTGAGTTTCATCTTTCTTGGCCCAGTGGTTCTTGAGAAAAAGATTTTTAAAGATTTTTCTTATATACTCCTAGGAAAACTTTGATCAGCTATTGTGGCCCCATCCTACCCCGGGGGTCATGATTTGAACAAACTTGAATCTACACTACCTGAAGATGATTACACATGAGTTTCATCTTTCCTGGCCCAGTAGTTCTTGAGAAGAAGATTTTTAAAGATTTTTCCTATATACTCCTATGTAAAACTTTGATCGGCCATTGTGGTCTCACCCTACCCCTGGGGGGTCATGATTTGAACAAGCTTGAATCTACACTACCAGGGTCTGACAAATCCCATTGCCCAACGCCCGGGGCTAGTGAATTTTTAAGGGGGGGCAAGTGAATTTTTTTAATAGGTACATGCCTGTGGGCAAGTGACTTTAAAAATCAATAAATATTTTTAACAAGAGGCCCATGGGCCACATCGCTCACCTGAGCACTAAGGGTAGGAATTTTTATTGTAAAGTTTAAATCCCAAAGTAGTCACCTGACCAATCATGGATTTGCTATTTTTTAGAAAATGATTTTTAAAGAATTTTTCTATATATTTCTATGTAAAACTTTGGTTTCATTTTTAAACTGGCCCTATTCCCTGGGGTCATGATTTGTACACTACCTGAACATGCTTCCATATAAATATGATGAATTATTGCTTTTCATTCTTGAGAACAAGATTATTTTTTTAAAATTTTCACTATATATTTCTATGTAAAACTTTGATCGGCCATTTTGGCCCCCCCTACCCCCGGGGGTCATGATTTGAACAAACTTGAATCTACACTACCTGAGATTCTTCCATATAAATTTGATGAATTATGGCTTTGACATTCTTGAGAAGAAGATTTTTAAAGAATTTTCCTATATATATTTCTATGTAAAACTTTGGTCGGCCATTGTGGCCCCGCCCTACCCCCGGGATTTTCATGATTTGAACACACTTGAATCTACACTACCTGTGGGCCAGCTTCCATATAAATATGATGAATTATGGCTTTGTCATTCTTGAGAAGAAGATTATTTTAACAAATTTTCCTATATATTTCTATGTAAAACTTCAGCTATTTTGGCCCTAACCCTACCCCAGGGGGTCATGATTTGAACAAACTTGAATCTACACTACTTGAGCATTCTTCCATATAAATATGATGAATTATGGCTTTGTCATTCTTGAGAAGAAGATTATTTTAACAAATTTTCCTATATATTTCTATGTAAAACTTTGGTCGGCCATTTTGTCCCCGCCCTACCCCTGGGGGTCATGATTTGAACAAACTTGAATCTACACTACCTGAGCATTCTTCCATATAAATATGATGAATTATGGCTTTGTCATTCTTGAGAAGAAGATTTTTGAAAGAATTTTTCCTATATTTCTATGTAAAACTTTGATTCGGCCATTGTGGCCCTGCCCTACCCCTGGGGGTCATGATTTGAACAAACTTGAATCTACACTACCTGAGGATGTTTCATAAGTTTCATCTTTCCTGGCACAGTGGTTCTTGAGAAGAAGATTTTTAAAAGATACCACCATTTTTTCTAATTCCCAATTATCTCCCCAAAAAAAACAAACTTGAATCCCCTTCACCCAAGGATGCTTTGTGGCAAGTTTGGTTGAAATTGGCCCAGTGGTTCTTGAGAAGAAGTTGAAAATGTGAAAAGTTAACACACGACATACGACACACGACACGACACACGAGGACAACGCCGGACACAATGTGATCAGAAAAGCTCACTTGAGCCTTCGGCTCAGGTGAGCTAAAAATGTTATAGGACAGGAGTCTGAAGTTCTTATCGTCAAAAAAAAAAAAAATCCGGAAAGAAATTTTCCTACCTTCAACTAAAATACACCATGATGGCAATATGTTTTGGGGGGACACACTTAAACTAATAGATCTGGGCTTGGCCTAAAAAATCTCGCAACAAATTCAGTATTCGGAGCGTTTTACTATTTATTCAAGTTAAGAAATCCAATCTGCTTGACGACTACAGGCCGTTTCTGGCCCTTTTTCCACTTTAACAGCTCATCCTGGACTCCATGCCACTAAACTGGAAGTAAATCTCGCAGTGTATATTTGACGTCTATGAACATGATCATGATGATGAAAGCTTGTTCAAATGAAATAAAATAAATAATTATTCAACATATTTTGATTCAGTTATTTTAAACATATTTAAGAAAACTTTAAAAGTTATCAATTCTTTTTCTTACTTGTAAGACGATATGTACCAGGGACAGATAATTCTATTTTTACACGGTGCCAAATTTAAATCATTGAAAAGCCAAGTCAACAAAGAGCCAAACAGCTTGTCTTACCGACCTGATGAGGCATTATTTTGTTTTAAAAATATATTTTTTTTTAATTGATCACATATGGAAACATAATATTGTACATGAAGATTTACATACAATTTTTTTCTTTTCTTCAATTACGTAAAATATTCACTGCGGTGTTCACTTCCAGTTTAGTGGCATGGAGTCCACTCCATACTCCACTAATCAACCTCTTTCAAATGACACCAAGGTCAATGACTTTGTGACCTTGACTGTGACCTTAATGCTAAAAATAGCTTTTTCCAAACTTTGTTGCCGCCGGGCGCATAGTGTTTCACAAACACATCTTGTTTTTTTTTATGGTCTACTTACCCTCTATACTAGTACTGTGTGTACATCTGTCCTCCACATTCAGCTTAAGTACAGGATCTTGGCTAGAAGTTGACAAAAATTCAGGATACCTGTAATTTAAAGAAATATCAGTAAGAATGTGCTGCAAATCACATATTCCATATAATATCAAATATGACACTATACCGGGGCAAAAAAAATATACATGACTGTACTCATGTTTCCTGTCACCTGACCTATCCTCCATTTTACTCTCCGAACCTCATAGTTTTTTTTTTCACGTTTTCATTTTTTTTGCTATTTTCCCGAAATGTTTAAATCGGCCAACAATATTAAATGTTTTTTACAGATGAGTTTCAGAAGCGTTTTAATACAAAACTTGGGCAGACCTGTCAAAAAAATTATTGAACATACCAATGAGAAGTATGAAAGCCCTAACACCAACTGTGCAAAAGTTATAAGTTATAACTAAGGTTGAAGAGTGATATATTTTTGTAAAAGTGGTCAAACTTCAAGGTCAAGAGGTCAAATTTGGTGGTGGTGGTACCCAAAGAAAGGTCTTGTCACAAGAAATACAAGTGTACAGCAGTGAAATATGAAAGCCATAGCCCCACTCACTCCAAAGTTATGAGCAAGGTTAAAGTTTTTGAGGACAAACAGCCAGATGGACTACAGGGCAAAATCTATTTACCAATACGTCTTATTTCAACTATGGAAGAGTTTAAGATTTTAGTGCGCTCCTCTGTAAAAAAGTTGCAGAGTGTACAAATCTTTCAGGATTTCTGGGACAAACGTAACATAAACATGTAAACAATATGTTGGATGTCGATGAACAAATCCTAACAAAAATCAAATGAATCATTTTATTGTTGTGGACTTTATACATGTTATATGCATGAAGAGTAGAAAGGACAAAAATATCAATTTTTATCTATTGTTTATCATATGTATTTAATTATCATCTAAATATAATTCACATGCTTTGGAAATGTATTTTATTATTGGATGATAAATGAGATGGGAGTCCGAGAACATAACAAGGGATAAGCCTATAGCGCAACAAACATGAAGGTGAAAAAATTAAATCTCAATATGTTATGTCGCGACTACCAATGAGTACCTCGCAGTTATCTAACTTACCTCCGCTCTTTTGCGAGGGAGTCAAGAAAAGTCTAAATTTCTGGGGGCAAATGACATTGTTTACATTAGTGACAATCGAATGATTCGAACAATTTAATGCCAAAATCACGATGTTTTGCCAGATATTGAATTCCAAATAGTAGATTGTCAAATAAGGAAAGTTAAGAATATTTTATATACTGAAAAATGTGACGATTTTCAATGAAAATTTAACTATAAGAGTCCGCTTAATTAAACATATCTTTAAAAATGTGACAATTTAGGATTGGCTCCTCTCAAAAATGTATAAGGCTGGTTCAGCGATTGTCTAGCGAGGTATTCCACCAGGATTTTTTACTTATCTGTCCTTATAAATGCTACAATGATCGATCTTGCATTAATTGTATTGAATAGCACATTGCTCCCACCCAACAGATGATTCCTACCTCCTTCATGAAAGAGTTCAGCTAAGTTAAGTAATCGCGATATCAAGTATTGTATCAAAATTTTCCGAAATATTTCATCTAAAATTAAAGTATACTTTATGTAAATCTGTCAAATCTCTACAACTTATACATATCTCATGAAGATTGAAGTTTTTGGCCTGTAAAATATAATACACACGCGAAAAAGGGCAAATTGAGTCATTTTTTCACACTTTTAGTGTTGTAAAATTGGACAAATTTACTATTATCAAATTGAATCGGAAGAACACAATCACTTATATAATTATATAATTGATAATTTTAAATGTTATAAAAGGTTAGATTTATTCATCCTTAGAAGTATTTTAAAAAGACAATGCACCAGGATATGGATATAATAATTATAACCTCTTCACCATGCACGTTCTCATTTTGTTTACTGCTGATTAGAGTGATGTCCCTTTGGTGAATATAAAAGTTAAACCTGCTCGGCTTGAGAAATACGGCTTGAAAAATATAGTGATCTATCGATGATAATATTTACAATCGATTGTCGCCAATCTGGGCCTTTAAACGACGATTTTTCGATAGTCAGCGACTATCATAACAACACTACACACTTTTTAAAACAATGTTTTGAAATGTATGAGTGGGTCTTCACTCCACTTTTTTTTTCAAGTTTATCCTCAAAGTTTGCATACAAAATGAAATATACTATTTTGATTTCCAAAATTATGGAGTAAAAACCCAATAAACCTTTTAAAAAATTATAATTTTATGATATAACTTTTGTATCTTTTCGAGAAAAACTTGAAGTCCACTGAGTCAATGGTCATATCACAAACATGATTTAAATGCCAATCCTCATCAGGACTTGTGTAGCATAGTGGTTAGCTTGCTAGTCTCAGTAGAGAATGCTACTCAGGATTTTTATTGCTAGGGTTCAATCTAATGGATACATGTACCACATTTTTATATCTGTGATAGTCAGTTGGTGAAAAAACTGCAACAAAAATTGCGTACAGATCTCGAGACACGTGGATATATAGGAAGTTGACATCGAATTTGCATAAAAATGAATCTCACTACCAGTATATAATATGCCTCGACAAAGAGTGTTAAAAAATTTCAAACTTCTTGCTACCATAGTAGTTGCTGAAAAAAAAAACATAAAAATTTACACGCACAGATAAACAGGAAGTTGATGTGAGATTTCCTAAAAAAATAATGCCACCATTATCCCTCAATATGTAATGCCTATAGAAAGATAGACAGACATGCTAATTCCAATTTACTCCCCAAATTTGATTGAGAATGGGTTAAAATAATTGTATGTTGTTATTGAATATTCCTCACAGTTGACTTGTAGGTAATACTTATCATTGCTGACTTGTGGGGAATATTTCTCACTGTTAACTTGTAATACTTTTCATTGCTGACTTGTGGGGAATATTTCTCACTGCTGACTTGTGGGGAATATTTCTCACTGTTAACTTGTAATACTTTTCATTGCTGACTTGTGGGGAATATTTATCACTGCTGACTTGTGGGGAATATTTATCACTGTTAACTTGTAATACTTTTCATTGGTGACTTGTGGGGAATATTATACACTTATTTAATGACTACGAGGGTCAAAATGTTTTATCACTGCTGACTTGTGGGGAATACTGTTGCTCACTGGCCGACTTGTAATAACAGTTTCCATTGGTCTCCCCCACTTTGTTTTATTTTATTTATGAATAAGTGTTTTATTGCTGACTTGTTTCCACAACTGTTTATTCACATACTTGTCTATTATTTAGCTGAATACATAATATGATTAAATTAATATTTTTAATTTAAATATACTTAATAAATTGATTGTTTGTTTTATTTAAATTTGATTAATTATAGACAATGTTGATCATCAAAACTCTTGAATATCACGATGACGCTTTAAACAGTCAATAGTTCATTCTGTGGCCCGGTCAACAGTTCACTGTTTCATGATCACGCAAAAAGATAAAGTAAACAGTGAAACAGTTTAAAATGCTTAATTATAATTAATATAGTAGGTTAGGTAATAATTATCACTGCTGACTTGTGGGGAATATTTCTCACGTAGGTTATATTTATCATTGCTGACTTGTGGGGAATATTTCTCACAGTTAACAATTTTAGGTAATATTTATCACTGCTAACTTGTGGGGAATATTTCTCACTGTTCACTTGTGAGGAATACACATGTATTGACCATTGCTTTACCCTTAAAACTTTGTTTCCATATAAATGTTGCCTTTGAACCCAACCAATAAATGTACACTTCAGTGTATATTGCTGACTTGTGGGAAACATTTATCACTTATTGGGAAATGCATTATTTTATTATACATGAACATTACAGATAAAAATTATTTTTCAACAAATAAAATAACTATCAAATCTTAAAAAAAATCAATCATCAATATTAATAATTGTATTGAAACTACATGTATTACTAATCTAATGTTTACAAGTCTTTTAAATCAAAGCACATTAATTTTAAAAACATTTGTTTTCCTTCACTAGATTTAAAACAAATTGCAAATTTTAATTTTCTCAGGTAAAAAAAATGTTTTCAATTCAAAAATAATAAGTATGTTGAAAAGGATAAAAAGTCATAAAATCAGGAGACAGTATATATAAGTACTAATTTAATCATTGATGGATTTAATTGGCCAATGACTAATTATTATTAACCAAATTTTGATTATATTTTGTAAAATTTTCTGATTATTGTTACACAGTTAGCATGGTTAGCACACATGTATATTTTCTGACAACTTCTCAGCATGTTCATGAGGCTTTTAACCTACTTTGAAATCATGAACAAGGACCAAATTTTTTTTTTATTTTAGATATACCGGTTTATATACTTCTATGTACATGTATAAGGCTTCATAACATACATGATATCAGCATGCTTTTTTTTTTTATTATTTCTGTTTTTAGAGCAACGGAAGTACTGTAAACCAACTTTTATTTGAGTGCAAGAAATATTTGCCAGTTTCATGACCTACATTTACTAGTGAATAGTAAATTATTAATTGCCCTGAACTATTAATTTTGCTTTATATTTGTAGAGAATGTTTCCTTTCATTAGTCACGGAAATTAATCAACACAGATTAGATATGCAAATAAAAGATGACACAAATAGGGTACATGTGTACTACCTGGTAGTTGGTTTACAGTACTGCTCACATATAGAGTTCAAAATGAGATTTTACAGCAATCTTGACTTACCAATACTAAATCCTTCTGTTTCCATACACAAATCCAGACAAAATGCTTTCAGTTATAATACTCTAGTTCTTTACATCCTTCATGTCCATGCAAGCGTGTCTGTTGACTTTGACTCCAAGTCTCAGTCTCTAACATTTTCAAGAATAAAGTTGTATAATTTGCTCTTGTGGTGAAAACCCGAAAACCTGCAATGATAATTTTGCTTTCAGTTCAAAGATTTCATTGTATATTTTTTTTAAAGTGTTCATATCTTTACCTATAATTACAAGACAGGTATATCTCCACATCACTCAATAGTAATTTTTGACCCCATGCGGCATGCCAAAATTAAGACTTAATGTATGCCCTTTCCTGAACCATATTGTTAACAGTGGGTAGGTAGGTATGAAAAATATTTTACTTTTTTCCTTCTTGTGACATGGCCCAGAGAGCTTTCCCTTTTAAATCAACCGTACAATAACTGCGAAACAGAACACTTTCTCGTGGATGTTTGATGAGCAGAAACTGTTTTATATGCAAAAAATCAACGATACAGTACAACTTATTTTTAGGAATGACAGAAAACTGAATCAATACCTTAAATGATAGTCATTGAAATTGCATGATAGTGCTTTTAGTATTTATTTAAATTTAATTAAAATGAGAATAAAAATTTACAGTGTAAAGTTACCAGAGGCAGATTAAAAATTTTTAGAAAGGAGGAGTGGGTGCAGAAATCAAATGGTTTTCTTAAAAAAAAAATAAAAGACCAAAATCAGGAAGCATCATCAGACCCAAAACTTTGAGCGCGCTCGTTATATGTAAATAAATTTAAAAAGGTATAAATTCAGTTAAGCAAATATAAAAAATTATGAATAATAGATATTGAATCTTAAAATCTCAACATTACCTTTCAATCTTATAACCAATTTTAAATTTTTAATATGCTCGCTATCATAAAAGCTGATCTAATTGTTGTTACTATGTTTCTCCATTTCCTCCAATTCGCATTATTTTGTATACCATGCCCAATCATAATTCAATAGTAATTGAGGTTTTGAAAAGGATTTTTAGTTATTTTTTACATATGATTTTGTTTCTTATTTATTCCATCAGCATCTAAACCCCAAGGCCAAGGTTTGAATTGTAACAAATTTTAAAAATAAAAGGTGATCTTTAATTAACAATAAGTATTTAATTAAAATGAATTTATTAGACATTTTAATTGGGCCTAAATAAATAAGTAGTGTGTTTTCAGCATGTTTAGTTCCCCGCCTAACTCTAAGAAGTATAGGAGCCGACCCTCAATATTTTTTCTGCTAATATCTTTCCATGAGTAAACTACTGTATGTATATACTTTAAAATGCAGGCTTCATATTTTAGCGGCTTTGGTGCAGACAACAATGCACTAATTCATGAATACTGCTAAGAAATCATTTACATATTGATATATATAATACACTGCACATACATGTGTAGCGCTAATTTATGATTATGCCAACCCAGTGATTATGCTAAATTTTGAAAGCACCAAATTATATACACATATTACAGTATTCGGAATTCCAGTTTACAATTAGAAATGAAATCCCAATCTTGATCACTTCCATGTTTGAGAAATGCATATCTTACACATATTAATCAGAAATATTTTGACAGTGAAATCCTGGGGGAAAGTGGCAGCGTGCCTGCCAATAAAATGTTAAAATAAAATAAAAATGTTTTTCCTACCTACCTACCCTATCTTTTCTAAGGTTAAAATAGGAAACACTATCTATTTATCTTGGCCTTAGCAAAATAAAAAAAAAATACTTATGATACATCGATAATGATGGTCTAAAATCATGAAAATATTTTCAGTAGGGCAATCAGGATGAATGTAGAACAGGGTGCAGGTGAAAGATAATGAAGGCAAATGGACACTATGCAAACCAACGCATGCAAAGAAATATATACAAGTAGGAAGAATGACTTGATAAAAAAACGATAACTAAATCAAGCTTTTTTTGGAAGAATTAAACATGTTAAATAATCTAACCAAGCTAAGAAATTTTAACTACGTAAATCTATAAATGTACTGATTTCAATGGACCTTTTGAAAAGGTGGAGTTCTCTGTGATACATTTCTGACACTGAGTCAGTGTGTGACTGACATCGTTTATAAATACACGTACAGTTTAAGTCAGATTAACTTTTACAATTAATTCGCCCACACAGGCCTCACTAAACAGCTAAAGACCAGACAGTCGCACCGTCTAGCATAATTTGAATGGGCATGAGGAGGATAGTCGCGTTTCACAAAAAATGGGGACAAGCCTTAAACGCTTACCATATCCCGGGGGTGCTGAATTCATATAAATCCGTAAATTGTTCTTACAGGATAGCCATTAGGCCTATAAACGTGATACAATTAAAAAAAAATAACCGAGGTCTAGGTCGGGTCAAACTTTCCCAAAGTTTTACGTGCATTCATTATTAAATGTTAGATCTACTTTACGAACGTCTGTAAGAAATAACTGCATGCATGATTTACGTAGTTAAATTAAGTTTTCAGCCTATAAAATCTTTAAAATATGATAAAAAATCCACTTACCACATATTCTCGGAGCAGCCATTGCCCGCAATAAATTGGTATCATATGGGGACCAGTTTAAATTCCGCTGCGTTCCGAATGAACATTTCCCAGCATCCTCAAACATTCGTTTTACGGTGCAGTGAGAAAATTACTGCGAGTCAATTTTACGGACTTATGGGGATTTTTTCAAAAATGACCACAAATCGAATAAATATTATCAGTAGAACACGTAGAATTCAAAAAACCCCATGACCATATTTGTGGGGAACGAGAGAGTTCCCCACAATTCTGAACTTTCCCCATAAGAAAGGTCCTTTGTCAGGTGTGAGTTCCCCACAAGTCGGTGAGCGCGAGTGCTCTCTCTCTCTCTCTCTCTCTCTCTCTTAGGATATTCATTCTTCATTCTAAAATTAACATTTACAAGAATTTTACACGACATATCCCCAATAACATATAATTATATATACAGTTAAACCTCTTTATCTCAAACTTGTAAATTAATTGTAAAAACCTGTAATTGTACATTAACTGGGAAAAATTTAACCATATTGCAAAACAAATGTGTATGGGTGATTTACTGAAAACGTTCATCCTCTTTTCCTTTTTATCATCTTCTGTGCGATTCATTATCACGTATTTGATGGTCATAGTTCTCCAGAACAAATTGGATAGCTGGTAATTCTGGGGCGGTTTAAATGCACTCCCTAAATTGTAGGTAAATAGCCCTATCATGGGCGGCGCAGGCAAATGGGGGGGGGGGCGTTAATTGAAAGGGGGGGGCTAAACCAACAAATAAGGTAAACCCCACTTTTAAATGCCTATATTATGTCTATCTTTGCAAGAAAGTGCCCCCCTCTCCCCGTTCTGACGCCTATGCGTACATGTATCCACGGTTTCAAGGAGCTTGAGAATTGAATATGTACAATTTCCGACAGTGTTGCGATTAAACGCAGTATATGTAGTACTCGATTGATTTAACACTTGGCGATAAAGGGGGAGAAAAATAAATGTTATGTTATGATGTATCTGCCTTTTTTAAACTATTCTATTTTCATATTAACTTCTTTTTATGAAAGTTACATGATCGAGTTTATAGTGAAGAAAGCAAGCTCTGAAAAACTTTGATACATGTATTTCATCACTGTAATTTTTCTTTAAATGAGTGATTTTTTTTCTTGGCTACATTGAAGCAGTTTCTTCTCTTCAATCCTATAATTTGTGCACAATAATCTCGATCTCGGCCAAATTGTATATATAAAAAAAGAAAGTCGGATAAAAAAGAGAAGAAAATTAGTACGATGGACAAGTAGACTTAGCAAAATAAGATGTATTATTTTGAAAATTTTTTAGCCATATTTATTTTAATCTTAGCATAAAAAGAGAGTTGAGATAATATTTATTGAATACCATATTCTGAAATAGTTTTTATATCAAACCACAAATGATGATAATAAATGATAGTCAAAAGACGTTATCAAATGTCGTGTGTGCACATGGTGAGGCACAGACGCCGGAAATGGGTGGGGGGGGGGCTGCAGGCGTATGATAAGCTCCCTTTCCATTTTCAACAGGCATGTTGTATTGCAGTCAAAAAAGAGTAAGTGGTAGTGTTAAAAAATTGGCAATGAAAAAAGTTCGATCCCTCCCCCCTCCCCCCCCCTCCCCCCCCCCCCCCCCCCCCACACACACACACACAAAATAGTGTTTAAGTACTTTTTTTGCTTGTCAGGGTTTTTCAGGGCTTATATTTTTTCTCTTTCAATTAGCCCCCCCCCCACCTCCCTACTTTAAATTTGGCGAATTTGCTTCAGACGCCAATGTGAGGGGAGGGGAAAGGAAGGAGTTGAACAGGCTCTACAATACATATACTCAATACTTGTAACGGTCCTGAAGCGAATTATGAAATCAGTTTGAAAAGTCTCTTTAAAAACGGCTACAGTGTTTTATCAATCGCGTTGATGATAATGTATTTTGTATTTCAGTGTGTGTGAGGGGGGGGGGGGGGTAAACCGTTATACCGTGTAAAGGTATATGAAAAATACAGAATATATCAATAAAATATCCTGATATTAAGCGAGAGGAAAAAGAGAAAGGGGATTTCCTACAAATATTTTGAAACAAAATGAATTTATTTTAAAACAAAATAATTAAAATGAAATATTTTATTTACTTGAATTCATTTTCTTTTATTTTCGAATAAATATTTTTGTACGAAATGATAGAGGTTTACAGCAGTTTAGTATTTTTAATAGAAAAATTGCCATTTGCTATTTTCCAATGCATGACTGTGGCTTATTTAACCACAAACAGAGATGGAAATTGTATTAAATGGTTGAGACATCGGGATCGAGATGCCTTTCATATCTCGATACGGATACGGATACGTATACGGATACGGATACGTCAGATAGAACAATCTCTATTATAATAGATATTTAAGGTTTTGAAACGTGTAATTTTCTGAAACCTTATACTTTAAGGAATTTAACAAAGTTTACTCAGGTAATGCAAAAATTCTACATTTGTGACTTTTCCTCTTTGTGCGTCACAGTTTCTCTTTAAAAAATGAACATGTGTTATTATAATATTATGAATTTTGAATGTACAGATTTTCAAGCATCATTTTGACGATCAATCTTATAAAGTTTAAATAGATTTTCGTGTCGGACATGAATGTATTTTTACTTGTTTCTTATTTACTTTTCGGAAACTTACCTTTTGTTATTTGTGAATTAGAAATGTTTCCTCTTTTGAATGTCGACTTTTCTTCGTAGATTTTGGTATTCGTTCTTACGATCATAATACTGGATTCATTTTTGCTGCTCTTCTCAACGGAATTATTTTTTCTATATCTGTTCTCATCTTTTGTAAAATTACAGAACAGATCAATACCTTTAATATCATTTTTGTTCTTATCAGTTTCAGTGACGTTCGGCGCCTTGATATCTAATGCTCTTTTACGTCGTCTTATAAAGGAACATTTGGATGTGTAACATGTTTCAGTTTCATGAACCGCTATACAAAGAAGCAATGAATCCTTTTCTGTTTTGTCTGAAAGAGTTAAGATTCTGCAATCTGTGTTTTTGGCACACGTTTGAAGGTCAGCTCTCATGGGAGATTCTGAAATATCCAAAAATAAAATGAAATGCTAAAATAAGAAATTCTTTCATAATGCAGTATTATAATATCCTATTATCCCGGGACATGTAAGCAAAAATCGTTTGTTTTTTTTTTCATTCTCACTCACATCATCACATATATTTTTTTTTAATAAATATCTACCTTTTTTATTAACTCAATTCTTAGGATTATATACCCGGTATTTATACATCATTAAAATTTTATTTTTTTTCATTTGTGATAATTAAGAGTTTGAGGGGAGTATTATAATGAAACATTAAGATATCAAACAATAATCCATGCAGTTTAAAAACTAATTAAAATGATATATTTCAGGAGCAGAAAAAAACAGTGCCACGTAAAATAAAAACGTCTGTAAACATATAACATTCATTGGAAACAGATAAAGATCTAAAATAATGTAGTATACATAGACATTCTCATTCTTGCCTTTATTTGTTTTAGACGATGAAAATCCACTTATTAAGTTTTCCAACTTGGAAAGATGATGTCTGGAAGAAGAAAATACACGTTTGGTTGAAACGATGTTATTATTTTTATTACAAGTCTCATGTCTGACTGAGTTAAAAAGGAGAGAACAGGCGCCAAAATCATGAAATAGTCTTAATTCTACAAAATACAAATATTTCCATCATTTGTAAAGTGCATGTGAACTAAAATACGTTTACAAAATACCGATTTGACGATACATGTTAAATAGAATAGTTAATTTTACACTGACTGATTAAATCTTTTTAGGGCTCTACACAGATTTTGACTTAAGTTTAAGAAATAAGAAATAGAAGTTTTGAGGTCAGTATAATTGTTTAGTTTAAACTATCCATCCTCGTTACGTCTTTATACTTAAAACAAACAGATGGAAGTTACACACATTAATTGTTGAGTGGAATTGTTTGTTGCCCCTAAATCTGATTTCCAAGGATGGACACATCTTTCATTCTTCACATTTGCAGTGGCTTTGCATAAGGCGTTGTAGCTCATTATCTGCACTGAAATTAATAAAAAAAAAATTCCTCAATGCCTGAAGAGTAGAATTTCCTTTGCATCACTTCAGACTGAATTTGAAATGCTAAATTAAATTATCATCTCCACAAACACTTCAACATGCACGTTGTAATTTATATGAGTTTTGTAATCATATTTTTTTCTAGATGCAATACATTACCAAAGAAGATGTAGATTAACTTCCTGATCATAAACGTCTGCAAAATGATTCTTCCCATTTTTATGCTATCTTTCTTTTCAAAAATTGTGAAATGGTGACATTTTTCCAAAAAGAAATTCCAGTTGCTATACCGTTAACAACTTCATGCTGGAGGGAAGTAACACAGAACACATGATTCAGATTGCAGATCGACACAGTTGTTATTATCTAGTTATTTGTCATACACTCATTATATTCCCACACTCGAGTTCTATATTTAGAACACATATATTCTAATATGCACTTTCAATTTTCGTATGACTATGTTTTTCTTAAAAAACAGCCATCGATATTAATTTTTTCTGCTTAATTCATTTGTTGTAATTATCAGAGTTATTTCTATGAAATTTCAAGTGTCATTGTCTATGTTACATGTAATTATCACTTTTCCAAGAGATATATGTATTCCCCAAAAGCATTTGTATACAGCAGCATAGATAACTATGCCATAACAATGTTCTTTAATGTCTTAAGTTAAGGTCCTGATATTACACTTAACTTGGGTGGGACCAGTGCGGAAATACTAGAGAAAATAAAAATGGTAAAATATATGTCCCATCGGCATTTTGTTTTGAAATGTCAAAATAATATATTCCCACAGAATATAACTTCACCTTGACATTAGCTACAGACCCTAAACCGTGCTACTACACCACTGTAACGGTACGGTTCGGTACGCTTTGTGCACGGAACGGTACGCTTTGTGCACGGTACGGTTCGTTTTGAGGACGGTACGTTTCGTTTCTTGCACGGAACGGTTCGCTTTGTGGACGGTACGGTACGCTTTGAGAACGGAACGGTTCGCTTTGTGCACGGAACGGTACGCTTTGTGGACGGTACGTTTCGTTTCTTGCACGGAACGGTTCGTTTTGTGGACGGTACGCTTTGGGAAACGGTATGCAAATGAAGTGGGCGGAGCCTGTTAGCTTTGGTCCCTGATTGGCTGGTAAACATTAGTTTATTTTAAATGACTTTTGGAGTACTTACATGCAATGCGCGTATATAACAATTTTTCCGT